TATTATAGATTTACGTCATTTAAATACAGTCATTTATATTACTTATAGCTTAATGTCATTTAAATACTGTCATTTATATTACTTATAGTTTAACGTTATTTAAATACAGTCATTTATATTATTTGTAGCTTTACGTCATTTAAATACAATTATTTATATTGCTATAGCTTTTAGCCATTTATAGTTTTTCAGTTTATATTTATTCCGCAATTCTTAATCTTTATATATCAACATTTTATCTCTTTAATTTATATATATGTAACTGGTATCTGAGCCTTTATTCATGGTGATTAGATAATATAATTTTCAACAATAGCATTGATACTTTGAGAAGATCCGAGTTTTGGGACTTACAAGTGGTATCAGAGCCTTAAAAATCGACTTAAGGCTGTTTGGTATCAATTGCTTTTCGAAACACTTGTTAGTTTGAGGCGTTTTTGAGTTGTATTAAAAAAAGGGGATTGAGCTGCATTTCGTGTTCATCATTTTCTTGGTGATTCTTCACTGATTTTGGAAGATATTTCATTGGAAATCGTTTTTGGTTGCCTACCAAATTTCGGAATTCACTGGATAAGGAAACTTGATCAAAAATTTCGTTTTCGGCTTAATTTCAGCGTTTTCGGCGGCTGAGTAACATTCTCGATGAAAAGACTTGGTCAAAACAGTTAGTTCTCGGCTAATTGTTCTCGGTCAATCTTTTGACTTTCAGGGATTTCGGTTAAACAATTTGACCTTCAAGGTTCTCGGTCAACAGGGTGTTTTCGGTCAGAAAATATTTAAGTTTTGGTTTTCGGTCAAATTTTCTTTGATGAATAATGAGTTCATCAATCACCAAGAACATAAATGAAACCTCATATTCTCAATCTTGTGAAGACAAAATAAAAAAATACCGTGAACATTATGAATTATTGGTCAGAGAGGTTTTTGACCTAAAAAACGAAATATATGAAATTAAGAAAATAAATAAACCGCTTAAGGAAAAACTAGAAGCTCAATCAAAAGATTTAAGCAAGATTAAAGAAGAGCACAACACCAAATGTGTTCACTATCGGTTTTCCAAGGAGAAAATTGCAAACTTAACTGCTGAACTTGATGAACTGAAGGCTAAAATTGAGGATTCTGACTTTACATTTAAGAAATTCGATGTGTCAAGTGAGAAGGTTGAATCTATGATAGAGAAACAATTAAAGTGGAAAGACAAACAAGGTGTGGGTCTAGGGTATCATAATGTTCCACCTCCTTTCAATGATAACTATACTCCACCCCTTGAAAACAAAGAGACAGAGACTCCAGCTCAACATGGCCATCCCCCTGTAACTGCCCCAATCAAGACTGAACAATCCGACACAACTGAGAGTACTAATGTGAATGATTCTAATACTTCTACTTCATGTGCAGTTGAAGTAGCTGTGCAAGATGGGTTCGATCAGAACAAAAGTAATTCTAGTTCTACTGACAGGGCTTCAAAAGCTTGTGATGATAATAATCCCACTATAGAAAAATCCAAGCCGCGGAAATTTGTTAAAAAGGCTAATAAATGTGCTTGTGATTGTGGAAGGTCTTTGAAACAAAAGTCACTTGGACAAGGACCAAGTCACATTTTTATTTACCTGAAAAGACAAACTTGTTTCAACTGTGGGACTCCCGGTCACATTGCTAGAAATTTCCCACATCGTCCATATGTCCCTTACTATAAACAAGATTAGTAGAACGTACCTAGGGGGAGATCTTCCACAAGAAATCTTTCAAGGTCACGTTCAAGAAATGGTGATTGGAATGCTAAAAAGGCGAAGAATCAAACTCCCAAGGCCAAAAAAGGGCATGTCGGACAAGAAGACTAATTTGAGAAATAGTTCGGTCGGACCAAGATCGGTGAGGTCAAATTCATCTCAGCAGTCGGTCTAAAGCTCTAAATCAAGTGCTGAAACATCCATCCGACTAAATAGGAAAATGGTTAAACCCGACTATAGATGGGTACTAAAGGTTTCAATTCCCAAATCACTTAAAAATTCTAACGTCTCTTCATTTTATGTGTTTGATAAACAGGATATGACTTGGGAAAGAGTATCATGTGTTGATGGTAAAGGTCAACCCAGTTTCAAAATGGACTGGGTTACTAAGACCAACTGATTCAGTACTCTGTGCCGGAGCAGCTATGGAGGAATATCATCAGACTTCAGTATGTTGATAGTGGCTCTTCCAGGCACATGATAGGGGACATCTCTCTTATGCATGAGTTTCAGAATTTTCATGGAGAGCATGTGTCCTTTGCGGGAAAGAAAAAGGAAAGATCACAAATGGGGGTTTCTTCAATTGTTGAATTACGGTTTGAATTTTCTGACTCTTCTCTTCTCTGTGATAATAATGTTGATCCTAAATTGTCCAAAAACCTAATTTTTCTTTAAAAAAAAACAAGTTCGTGCTTGTGGGATTTCTTAAGATGATACGTTTCGAAAACTGAAATTTCTTTTCAATTTTACTTTGTATTTCTTATTTTCTTTCATTCTGTTCTATTTTTAGTAAAGGAATTTTTTTGTTGTGACAACCTTTTGGGAAGTGATATAAGTTAGTGATAAAGGGCAAACTAAATATGTGTGAAGCACTGAAGCTGAATTGTATAAACTCTGTGTTCAATGTGTTGGTAGGCACAAAGGACTAAAACTAATGAACTAGACAATGTGGACTCATTTGAACTTACAAAACTTCGCTTGGACTGACAATACGACGTTTGGATAGGTTTAACAGTAAAATAGACAAGGAAGCCTCTGACATAAATTGAAGCTAACTATCATCTAGATTTGTGGATCAACACTTCATTGGCATATGGACTTATGTCCTTAATTTTCGTACAGATAGGGGTGACTAAGGGGTTCTGATAAATTGGGTCTGTTTAAAATCGTTATTCTTTCTTTCTATAGTCAGCCATATGTTGTCTCCTTGGTGTGATCGGAAGATCCGACCTGGGACATAACTTATGCACTCAGATGATGTCCACTGCTTCTAAGTCAGTATGTTGTCTTCTACAAATCTCAAATATTCTACTCTCTATGTTAGTCATATGTTGTCCCTTCTGCGTGATCGATAGATCCGACCTGGGACACAACATATGCATTCCACAATGATTATCCACTCACCTGAAGTAAAGGATTCTGAGGAAACTTCCTTGATTACTGGAGTATGTCATGAAGTGGGGAACATGTTCTAGTGTACTAACATTAACTTCACCCATAACTAAAAGGCTGACTGGTAGATTTTGCTGGCTAAATTTAAGTGGAAAACAATATCCTTGGTCGTCATCAGACAAACTGGTCTATCTAGGGATATAGTAGCTATATATTGTCACTCATAATCTGTCCTGAAAAAGTTCTTTGTGTTTAAGTGGATCACAATATCAATGATTGACCAGAGTTTTTCATGAAGGTGTGTGCTGATAAACCTCATCAATTTGTTCTATAACGTTTGATCCCAAAAGTTTTTATTCTGGATTACATTTTTATTTATATTTTTATTTAGATTTGTACATATTTTCGTTGTTATGCACAAATTTAGGGGGGAGATAATAAAATAATAATAAAAATAAAAATTATTATTATTAATTTAAAATTTTAATGATGTGTTTAATTTTATTTTTAATCCGCTTTTTGGTTTTTGAAATGTAAAATCAAAAGAAATTTTTAAATTTTTTTGGGCTATTTTTATTTTGGGCTGAAATCTTTGAGGTGGGTCATTTAGGACGTTTTGGGGGGTATTTATATGCCTTCTTTTCGGCTGATTAGGGTTTACCACTCAAAACCTCAATCCGCCATTGTTGTTCTCTCTTCAAGTTTTTTTTTAAGTTCTTGAAAAATCAGCTTACTTTCGGTGTTTGTATTGCTAATACTTCGGTGAATCAGGTAGATATGTAGTTTTCGATCATGGCAATAATGTTTAAAGTGTTTTTGGTGTACATGTTTCCATGGATTTGCAGGTTTCGAGTGGATTGTTCGAAGGTTTTCAAATTTTTGAATTAGAACAGGTTCTGAGGGTTTTCGGTGCAAACTGGATTTCGACCGAAATCGATTCAGATCCGACCGAAATCGGGTTTCTCAGCCGAAAACGTCTAGTCAAATGTGTTTTGACCGAAATCGAATAGTTTTGACCGAAATCGATAGAAACCTTGACTTTAACCGAAAACGCCTGGAGTTTTGCCTTTGATCGAAATCGATTAAATCTTTTACTTCAACCGAAATCAAATTATAAACTTAATTTAATTAATTTTTAAATCAATTCTCACTTGGCTAGTTTGGTGTTGATAAATGGTTGAGCAGATTAAATTTGTAGACTCCCACAATGTTGTTGGATATCTTATGGATCCACCTGCTACTCATCAAGAATTCAAATCCATGATGGTGGGTTTGAACATCTGCAGGATTTCTCATACCCTCCGTGCTAATCCAGTCATCCACAAAGACTTAATTACTAAGTTCTGGAAAAATGCTTCAATCAACAAGCAGGGAGCAGATGGAGCTAGTATCGTTGAATCAATGGACAATGGTGAAGGGAACTCAATAATTGTTTATGAGCAAGTTATCAGAGAAGTACTTGAATTTGGTGATGCATCTGCATTTCCAATTGAGTATTCTGCTGATCAGGTGAGGGAAGTCCTTGAGAAGATGTGTTATGAAGGAACCTATCCTCCCACCATCAAAAATCTGCTGCCACCTTACTGTAGATTTCTGGCACACTACTTTGTGAGTTGCATTTCTGGAAGGAAGGGAGGATCTGATGAGATTAGTCATACTGGAACCTCAACTATTGTCGCTTTAGAAATGAACTGGGATTACGATTTTTCAAAGTTTGTTTTTGAAGAAATGAAAAGCAACCTTCAAGGGAAGAAGAAGGACCTAATTTTGATGTATCCTAGATTTGTTAAAATGGTTCTAAATGAAAAATATCCCCAAATTGAGAGGTCGTCTAATACTTTGGACATGAAAGCTTTGGGTCTCAACACCTTTCGGCTCATGAAGCAATCAAGAAAAGCTGCCAAAGTCGCCTATCAAGGTTTGAAGGAGCTGGTTAAGTTTGGAAAGTTTGCTGAAGTTGAAAACACTCCTGCTACTAGTTCCATCAATGCTGAGGTTGTCGAGGAACACATGACACCTAAGTCAAAATTTCCATTTGCATTTGAAGAGGTTGAAATATCCGATGATGAAGAAGAAGAGGTTCAAGAAAATAATATGACTGCGAATGAGCTTGAAGATTTTCTACAATGTATCTCAATCCCTGAAGAGGATGTAAATGTCACACCTTCTGTTGTGACTGAAAGAGACCGTGATTCAACTGTGCAGTTTTATTCACCTACCCCTGAACAGATGGATGCTCTTATTACTGAACTTCAGCAAACTGCGAGGAAGCCTCCCCAAACAGTTCCTGTTACAACTGAACCTCCATCTGAGAGTGATCAAGAAGATTAACCTCACGTTCTACTCCCAAGGAAAAGAAAAAGAAGAGATCCAAGACCTGGAGTACTTATCACAGACCCTATTAAAAATGTATCTACTCCGATTAAACCTAGTTATGTGGCCCAAAATATTGAAAGCACATTCACCGAGTCCTCTCCAGTGTTGTTTCAAGCCCGTTACCTGAATCCACTCCTATGGATCAGGATTTTGAAAGCCCTATTGTTGAACAAGAAGTTTTCCTTTCAGAAGGGGCTCAAGCTTCTGGAAGTTCTTTTGAGGCCCCCGAACTGGATATTTCAAAAGGCAAGAGCAAGCTGCCTGATTCTGAGTTTGTAGATGTCGCTCTGCTTCAGAATAGAGTTTTTGATTTGGAACAGAGCTCAGCTGAAGGGGAAAGATTTCTGCTTCTAGTTCTGTTCCAGCCAATCCAACTTCTCAACCTGCAAGTGAAAGAGTTGTAAGACCTGCTTTAGATGTAAATCTTGACACATTTTTATTTTATGGTCCTACTTCTGCTCAAGAAAGAAGAGAGAAGAAAATCAGGGTGAGCAGCTAAGAGGGAAGATGCTGGTGATGAAACATTCGGACCAAAATGCTCCAGGTGATCACCCTGAGATGTTTCTCAGGGAGACTGGGAAGAAATTTACAGATAAATATGGGGACCGCTCTGGTATTTTGATGTGGGGATATGAAGTTGATAAGAAAATGTGGATCGTAAAGCGAAAGAGCGGACGAGTTGAATATTATGAGAAGAAGGTCGACATTTTGCCTTGGACAAAAGTGATCTTTTTGAACTCATCCACACTCCTTTCCACAATCCAACCAATGAACCCATGACCTGGTCTTTTAAAAAGTTTCTTGAGGATAAAGCTAAAAATAACTTTGAAGGCATGAAGACTACTTCATCATTTACTAAAAAGGCCAAGGGTGTCATTGATCCTCATACTAACAAAACCATGGTGCATGTTATGTGGCCGCCTACAAAGCAAGCTAAAAAAATCCCGCTTCCCAAACAGTTACTAGAAGGTACTTTGGATTCAATGCATCTATGGGTTTATGATGAGGTTACTGCATCAGCAGTGATCAAGCTGAAGAAGAACGAGTATCGCATTGTTGATCCCAAAGACTTGTTGAAGTTTTGTGAACATGATATCCGAACTTTGTCAAACTTTCAAATAATTGTTGAGAATGAATTGTTTGAAGCTGCCGCAAAACCCTTCACCGAAATGGTTGCTACCATTATTGAACAGAAGCTGTGGGCTGGGGCATTTGATCAGGCGGACGTGCATCTCGTGGAAAAGCCTTGATGAGAACTAAAAGCAATAAACCAAGGGGGAGATTGTTGGGCTATATTTTGTGGTTTATGCTTTGTTTTGTATGTCATATATGTTCTCGGTTGTAGACCGAAATCACTAGTGGGCTTAGTCTTTTTGATGGGCTTGTTCTCTTTGGGCTTTAGGTTAATTGGTGTAGTATAAATATGGTCTATGTATAGCTATTTCAGGTTAATGCGTTTTTGGTGAGTTAGAGCATATTATCGGTTTAAGAATATTTGAATGTACCTGACAATTGACTAATAGAATTGTGTGCATACATTTAAACGTGTTCATTGGTTCATCTAATTGCTTGTTTGTTTAGTACAATTGTTTGATTAAGTTTCCGCATTAATTCAAACAATAGCATTGATACTTTGAGAAGATCCGATTTTTGGGACATACAAATTGGATTTGATAATAAGCTTAGAGTATATTGCATTTAGTTAGATTGCAAAGACAAACTATATGACTAAAAGAAATTCATGAGTGGCCTCAGTGTTGTATTCGATCATTGATGGTTCTTTTGAAGTTTCTTGTGACTATAAGGTGACTTTACCTCGTGTTTGGATCCCAAGTTACATAAGATCACATGATAAATACTCAGTAAGTAATTTCACGAATGCGAAGAACATCATAGTCAAGTGAATCATATAAAGATCTAATGACATTAGACTTGCATGTGTAATTTAGTTTGTTTTAGTTTAGGAACTGATGCAGTACAAGTCTTTAGTTGATTCGATGATTATTAAGTGGATAACTTAATATCTAATAAAGATCAGTCATTTTTATTTAGGATATCATTGTGTTCCATTTTTGCATGTTTAGAATCACTTCCAGGATAATTTATTATTCAAAGTTCCACAGTCAGACGTACTCTTGGGAGATAGTAGTGAATTAAGATTGTCATAGAATTATTAGATTTTTCATAGAGATGAATATAGCTAAGTCTTCCGACCAATACTGATGAGTACTTGAAAATGGAGATTTTTAAGTATTGGAGTAACCGCGCTTAAAGATTACTTCGTGGATCATGTCATGAGTAAATTATGACGACTATATTTCTTATTCTTCAAATGGAGATGCATGAGGTTTTCCCCAACGTTGTCATTAACTGGAAGCTATCTATGGTTTGACTAAATATTGCATAAGGAATAGTCTTGGCCTATGTTGTCAAAGTTTATTTGATCCTTCTGCTAGAAATGGAGTAGTAGATATCTTTGGGCCCCTTGATGATTTGGTGCTGACATATAAAGTACTCGACCGAGTCCTCACTGGAATTGATGTGTTCAATTTAGTAGTTAGAAGAAGTCGTCACAAATCTATGTCGGGAAACATAATCTTGAATTCTGAGATTTACTATTATCTGTGTCTCAAATTAGATATCATGAAGATCAAAGGTATTTGAAGTCACTAGTATTAGGACTATTTATAACATTGTTGCGATAAGTACAGTAATTGCATTGGACTACCACTCACTATTGTTCCTAGTAAGTATTGGACCAGTCAATTATTAATTCCTAAGTTCAAGTGGGAGCTGATGGAAAAACAACGTCCATAGCCATAAGAAGCCCGATAATATTAATATTAATAGCAGTGTCTTTTTTGGGTTACACACAAGAACAAAATAAAGCATATTTGAAAAGATATTTATTTGACGGACTTGTTTTGTTAATTAATTAATAGCAAATAAAGGAATATGAAATATTTCATAATGATTTGAATACCATAGATAATTATTATTATAGTTGGTGATTATCTATAGGGTTTCAAATCGCCTCCTATAAATAAAGGGGTCAAATCCCAATTTTAGATGAATAAAAAACTTATCCTCTTTACTCCAAAATTCAGAAACTTTAAAACCTAGAAAAACTCGAAAGCTCGATACCACGACAGGGTACTTCATATGCCACGATGTGGTGATGATCAGAATCATCGATTTGAGTTTGTTTCGTGTTGGTTTGTTCAGATCTACGAGAGTTTTGCGTCTTTGGTGTGATTACAAGAGAAGAACTCTAATTTGGGTTCTCTAGTCCAATCAATTGGCTTGTCAAAAGAAGAAACCTACAAAAAATATAAGGTATGTTTTCTATCTATTGAGTTCTAATAAATTGCATAGATTAATTGAGTTAAGATCCATATGTTTCGAGTATTAGATCAAATTGTTTGTTGTTTCCACTGCCATTTTGTTTGTTCTAATGAGGATCGAAACCCATCAAGACATACAAACAACAAACCTATAAGCTAAAAAGAGCTTAGCGAGCAACCTGCACAACACAATATAAATAGTTATACAACTAAATATATCATCACTTTCTTAATTTATTCTCGTTCCATGGTATCTCAATCATCAAGATTACCTCTACCAATCATTCTCACTTTGTGGTATCTCAATCATCAAGATTACCACGACAATTCCTTCTTATTCTGTGGTATCTCAATCACCAATATTACCACAAGAATTCATTTTCATTATGTGGTATTTTCATCACCAAGATTACCATGAAAAATCCTTCTCATTTTGTGGTATCTCAATCACCACGATTACCACAACAAATCCTTTTCATTTTGTGGTATCTCAATCACCAAGATTACCACAACAAATCCTTTTCATTTTATGGTATCTCATTCACCAAGATTACCACAACAAATCATTCTTACTCCATGGTATCTCAGTCACCAATATTACCATAACAAATTCTTGTCACTTAGTGGTATCTCATTCACCATAATACTCCATTATATTAATTCTCCATTTCTCATAGCCATAAGAGGCTATACAAACATTCCACTATTCACATTCGATATAAACTAGATTAATTTTATAATCTACATAACTCATTCATAATGCAACTTAACCAACTCATTATTTCACATAACAATAACCAGATATAATATTCAGTTATATTAGTTTCCTACAACTCTCAACCATTCGTAAACATTACAGTTTCTAATTCAATAATCCAAAATGATAATATTTTATTTATTACAAAATTAACGCAATATAATAATAAACAAACATCTAGATACATATATCTAGAAAGAAGTGTAGTTACCCACCTATTTAGTTAGTGAACACTAACTACCACTTTTGGCTCTAAATCTCCAATTGATCCGCTTGATCAATTTCTTTCCAATTACCTATTTACATAACATATAAATTTCCTCATAAATCATCTTAATCCATTAGGAGCTTAATAACATTCCAATTTTCCAAAATCACATTTTTTCTCCCAAATAACCACTTGACAAATCTTTATCAAGAAACTAGTTAAGCTCCATGAATTAAGCTTCCATATGACTTAATTCATAAAGTTCTTAACTCAATTTCACAAGTTCATCATATACATTGTTTAGGGTTTATAAACTTTAATATCAAATTTCATGAATTTAACCATGAAAACATACTATAAAGCTTGTAATTAGCTTCCAAACACTTACAATAGCATCATAATCGAGATATTCATAAGCTATTTCGAGTTTCTATCCCGAATTGAACATTTTCCAATAAATTTCAAAGTCTAAATCAAAGAGGGAATCAATACATTTATGTGTTTCTAGAGATTACAACTTATTTCCCTTGATTCTAGCCTTCTCTAGAGCATTTTATATATTTAAAATCGTCCCAGAAGAGCCCTAGTTTGAGTTGGGATAACTTTGTTAAAAAATAGAGGTTTAACAAATTAAATATGTGTTCTC